GGCTCGCCTCCCAGACTCCCGCGTCCAGCCTACGCAAGCCCCCATCCCACGATCCCGGGGCCGGGGGCTGCGGCCCTCCTGCCCTGACGGCCACCCGTGAGGGAGCCTTCCCAGTAAAATGCTGAGCACAGAGTTCTGTTGCCTGGAGAGGAGGAAGGCGTTGGCAGGGGGGCCCCCTCACCTCGGTCGGGCGGCGTGATGGTGATAATCTGGGCTGTGAACTCCTCATCAAAATACCTGGTGTCCGTCTCGGACGTGACCTGAGGCTTGAAGGGTGGGCTGAGCTGCAGGAAGGGGGCTGCGTTACAGGTCTCGCCCTGCACTGCCCGGCACACCTGGACCTGGATGTGGACCCAACTCAGGACCCACCCAGGAGCCAAGGCTGGGGCCAGGCCTTCCTCTGCCCACGTCCCCTCTGGGGCCTCGCCCTTCAGGGATCCACCTGTGGGGCCACCGGCCTCACTCGCGGCCCCCGGATGGCAGAGTGGCCCGGCAGCGTCAGGCCACAGAGAGGACTCACCACAACGCAGGATGCAAGGGCAACTGCAGAGGGGACAGGCTGGCGGGAGGAAGGACCCCCACTCCCCCGACCCCGGGCCTGGGTGCAGGGCTGCCTGGGATCTAGCAGCAACTAGCAGGGGGGCTCTCGGGTCGGGGCTGGGACTAGAGCCCTTGGAGGGCAGGCCCAGGAGGCGGCAGGACCCTGGCTGGAGCAGAGCAGGGTGGAGAGCCCGGTCTCACAGGGACAAAGGCCCAGCTGGCCACGTGTGGCCTGCGGGGGAGGGGTGGGCTGGAAACGGGGTGGAAGCACGCTTGGGGACAGGCACCCAGCACGCCTGGGGACAAGCCTCCTGAGCCTGCTGGCCACCCCACCAGCACGCGCCAGATCGGAGGGCAAAGGGCAGAGGCACACGTGCAGGAAGCAGCCGCCTCGCTCGCCGCTCGCCGGGGGCCTCCTGGCGTCTGCGGGGGCGTTGAGCGGGCGTGTGCGGGGGGCGGGGGGCGCGCGGGCCCCGCCCACCTTCTTCTCGTACACGTCCTGCCACGCGATGCTGGCAAAGAAGCGGTGCCGCATGATCTCCTTGGCGTCCTCGGGGCCGCCGCCCAGCCTGCGGGGGGGACGGAGGCCACGGTGACGCGACGCGGCCGCCCAGCGAGCCCGAGGCTCCGACCCCTCCTCCCACAGGCGGCTGCGGTCGGCCGCCAGGCAGCAGCTGCAGGGTGCTGGGTGGGCAGGAGCTGCCGGCAGGGCCGGCTCTTCCCGAGGGCCCCCTGCCCGGGCCAGCCCAGGCCGAGGACATCACACACGGCCAGCAGCGCGGCCGTTCCCTGGGGGTTTCGGGGGGCAGCCCAGGGCAGGGCTCACCGCTGCCTGGGGTCCTTCTTGAGCAGCCCTGAGAGCAGGGACTTGGCCTCAGGGCTCAGCGTGCGCGGGAAGCGGATCTCCTCCATGAGGATGAGCTCGAAAAGCTTCTCGTGGTCCTGGTTGTAGAAGGGCAGGCGGCCGCACATCATCTCGTACATGACCACGCCCAGCCCCCACCAGTCCACCGCCCGGCCGTAGTCGTTGTCCTCCAGCACCTGGGGTTGCAGGGCACGGGCTCAGAGGGCACCTGAGACACGGGGACTCAGGGGTCGGGAGTGGGGAGCGGGGGACACGGGGGCTCGGGGCGCGGCAGACGTGCACCTCGGGGGCCAGGTACTCGGGCGTCCCGCAGAAGGTCTTCATGGTGGCGCCATCCTTGATGCCCTCCTTGCACAGCCCGAAGTCCGTGATCTTGATGTGCCCGTCCTTGTCCAGCATGAGGTTCTCCAGCTGCAGGAGGCGGCCTCCGGGTCAGCCCGCCTCCCCGCCGC